TGGGAGTGTGATCTCTGGCAATATGAACGTAACACTATGTTAAATAATTTAATTGTTTCGTCAGGTGTAGTTTATTATACGGACCTTGTGGAATCTAGAACGAATTTCCGTGCGTTTAGGCGTTTTTGCCATACCTATTATTGGAAGCAAGTATAACAGCTCACACATAGGACCCACTTAGTTTTTAGTCAAATTTCCGTGGTGCTTGGCGACTGGGCTTCACCCAGTTGTACAGTCTCTTCTTTGTGCCTTTAGGCTTAATTCATTCTGTCTCCTGCAGTAATTCACCGAGGGAAGTGAAAACCATGGTTTTTCTTCTTCTCCTCTTATAATATCTTCTGATTCACTTCGTTGCGGGAACCAAGACAGTTACTCATGTCCCTGGGACGCGCCGGACTTCAGTGTTCCGGTGTTTTCATGGTTGTATCTACTGTAGATCCTGGCTTACAGGAGTTGCAGCGGTTTTGGGAGGTTGTGGCGGGCTTGTCCCATAAAAAAAAAAAAAAAAATACCTTTAGGTGATCTGTTTGCTCATTTCGAACCTACCTACAACATAAAATTACTTAACAAAAAGTATGTACCTACTTATTACAAGAACGGCTGCTCTCCAAACAATGGGTGAGCTCAAAGGTTCAAGCAAAAGAATTTCGAAGTGAAAACTTGGTTAAAAAGTTTTCTGTTTACGTACGTGTGCCTGATAGGATATTCATGACTATTGACCGTGACCGTGACCCTGGGAGTTCGCGAGTTTGTTTAACAATTCCATCATTTGTTTCTCAATTTTGATCTCTCTCTTCAACGTTTTGACTTTACAATTTATTAAAATTCTTTGTTCTTTATGAGGCTTGCTGCTTCACTGTTTACATTTGTGTTTTCAAGTGTGTTGAAGTAAAATTACGAAGTTAGTAGGCATTTATGAACTACAGAACTATTCACTACCATCGCATTCATAAAAATCTTTTTAACATTTTTTACGTTATTGGGATTGGAAAACCGCGAGTAAAAGATATTTACATACATAGTTATGAACGTATTCTAGATAGATACGTACTATCTACGGCTACGTAAGTTGTAGATCGTTATAGATAACAAAGGTTCCATATCAATCTCATAATCCGTTTGCGTGGGAACCCTTAACAAATAGAACTCGCCTCTTCATTATATTTGTATGAATAATTTAACCGTATCAGTCAAGTGTCTGTCAAATGCTAGGCAAAGGGGAGATAAGTGATGGAGATATAGACAGAGATAACTCTTGCTGTCTCACAATCATTTTCTTATACTTTGCTTGTTTTTACCTGCGGCTTGGCTTGCGTTGACTAGCTTAGCTTACTTACTTCTCCTTAATTAATGAAGGTATTCAAGAAGATAAAGCGTAAATAAACATAAACAAACTATCATGTGGGAGCTATGCTTCAGCACGAACGGACCTACTGAACCTACAACGGCCTGAAGTGACTTACTGAAGTGCTACAACGGCCTCACAGAAAATTGGCGAAAATCAACGCTTGCTTGACTACTCTAGAGTTTTTCCTTGACTACTCAAGTACGTAGGTAGTTTACTAGAGGAAAGACTTAATCCTCATCAACCTCAAAAGATCGGCAACGCACGTCCACAGAAGCTGTCTGTGAAGTGGTTTAAAAATAAACAATTTTAAATCGGTTTTGTATATTTTTTGAGAGGATACGTATACTATAATTATGTTAATTAGTATACCGTCACGCTATTTAAATGTCTTAAACGATAGAAGATTCACAATGCAACATACAGTTTCCAATTTCAGTTTCAGTTCATGTAAGGAGTCCTATTACCATGTCATTATTCCATCGGGCATCATTCCAGATTAGGTTCTATATTACCGATTCTCTTTCCAATAAACTGAAAAAAACTGGTAATATTTTTTCCGACCTGAGCATGCTTCGCTGTACTTTAAGAACACTTGAACAAGTCAGGAGTAAAAAATTACACCATGTTGGTATATTTTTTTATTTATTTACGCCGTCAGTGGACAACCTCATAAATACAAACATTGTAATTTTCATTTTAGGGTGATTGAAAACAAACAAAAAATAATACGAACCTTCCACTTAACAATCTACATCTACAAGAACAGCTGTAGTCGGCGAACTTGTAGTGACATTTACAAGTGTATTGTTGCACTTCTGTTATGACACTGTACAGTGGGAAGTTTTAGACAACTGAGACGAACGTTAGAGTCGGTTTGAGAAAATAGTAAAGATATCACAAGATAAAGTACGTAGGTATATGAGCGCCGATAACATGAGAATTGTGAACATTTCCTTTTTATGTGTTTTGGTATGTACCACAATTGAATTGTGTCCGTAAGTACTAATTTTGATTAAAGCTATTTTACAGACAGTTGGCCCACGCCGAGTTCTCTTTTCTTTGTGCTATTGCTGAGTTCGGAAAAAAAACTGGCCCGGAAATCGAACCTAAAATAAAACTTGTAATATTCGACCAACGAGGTTTACCTCATTTCTTGCACGTAACTATCATGTGGGAGCTATGCTTCAGCACGAACGGACCTACTGAACCTACAACGGCCTGAAGTGACTTACTGAAGTGCTACAACGGCCTCACAGAAAATTGGCGAAAATCAACGCTTGCTTGACTACTCTAGAGTTTTTCCTTGACTACTCAAGTACGTAGGTAGTTTACTAGAGGAAAGACTTAATCCTCATCAACCTCAAAAGATCGGCAACGCACTTGGAACTTCTTTGATGATGTGGGTGTCCATGCGTTATCCCAACTTGTGCTGATTATGATCAGCTGTTGTCTCCTTTGCCACACCCTATCCCATAAAAACTTTCGAATTAATAATATTAGTTGGGATAACACAAGTTTATGCCCTTCATTCAGTCGAGTGGCCCGTATGGCGGATACGGGATACAATTCCCGATAAATTGCTTTTGTTCGGTGATTCAATTAACAGTAATTTTATTACGCACGTCCACAGAAGCTGTCTGTGAAGTGGTTTAAAAATAAACAATTTTAAATCGGTTTTGTATATTTTTTGAGAGGATACGTATACTATAATTATGTTAATTAGTATACCGTCACGCTATTTAAATGTCTTAAACGATAGAAGATTCACAATGCAACATACAGTTTCCAATTTCAGTTTCAGTTCATGTAAGGAGTCCTATTACCATGTCATTATTCCATCGGGCATCATTCCAGATTAGGTTCTATATTACCGATTCTCTTTCCAATAAACTGAAAAAAACTGGTAATATTTTTTCCGACCTGAGCATGCTTCGCTGTACTTTAAGAACACTTGAACAAGTCAGGAGTAAAAAATTACACCATGTTGGTATATTTTTTTATTTATTTACGCCGTCAGTGGACAACCTCATGAATACAAACACTTCAATTTTCATTTTAGGGTGATTGAAAACAAACAAAAAATAATACGAACCTTCCACTTAACAATCTACATCTACAAGAACAGCTGTAGTCGGCGAACTTGTAGTGACATTTACAAGTGTATTGTTGCACTTCTGTTATGACACTGTACAGTGGGAAGTTTTAGACAACTGAGACGAACGTTAGAGTCGGTTTGAGAAAATAGTAAAGATATCACAAGATAAAGTACGTAGGTATATGAGCGCCGATAACATGAGAATTGTGAACATTTCCTTTTTATGTGTTTTGGTATGTACCACAATTGAATTGTGTCCGTAAGTACTACTTTTGATTAATGCTATTATATACAGACAGGTGTTCCACGCCGAGTTTTCTTTACGAAATAAGTAACTCTGGCCCGGAAATCGAACCTAAAATAAAACTTGTAATATTCGACCAACGAGGTAAACATTTCTTGCACGTAAATACGGTAGATAACAAGTAGGCAAGTACAGGTTCGCGGGAATTCCAATTGTTTTATTAGCCTTTTATTCAGAGTAGATGGGAAGGTAGAGGGACTAAGCTCCTAGGAACTGAGAGTAGGTACTAGGTATGAGGCCTAGATGTTTTGGGACTTATTAGATCACCTATCAATCGAGATGGTCTGAATTGTTTATGTGAATTAGATAGGTCAACCTACTTAAAGGCTTTGTTGGGTGACCTACTGACTCATGACCTACGTCATACATACATAATTCGTTTAAGTTTAAGTTGAAATCGCATAACAGTAACTAAAAGGTCTACTGAAGAAATTCCAACAGGAATAAGTAGCACCTATGTATGTAAAAAAATTAGTAGGTCGGTATGTAAAGTCATAGCGACAAACATTTTATTTATGTTAAGGAAAAAAAACTGATATTTACCTAAGATGTAACTACCCAAAGTAAAATAATAATGAATAGGTAGTGTTTGGATAGGTAGCTATCCCAAAAAGAAATATTGCGAAACTAATTATAAGTAGGTATGGTAGATACAAATTGAAATATCGTATTAATGAAAAGAATATACGACCACTAGTTAACAGACAATAATCCACATAAGGACCGTAACGGCATTCCTACACTTTCCATTGCATTGATAACGGTTCGCAAGTCAAACCTAAGGACCAGTCTAAGTAGATACCTACTACAGTACCTACCGACGACGCGACGTCCATTCAACTTTACCCAAGAATTTGCAAAGCTAATAAATTTTATTCGGAAAAGTTGTAAAAAATTAGTGAAAATAGGAACAGCGGCGCCAGTCAATGAGTCGTATGATAACCTGAGGCGAGTGCGGAGGGTGCATCACGCACGTGTTGTCAGATTAATTGAATGCCTTCCGCCGGCCCGCCCCGCGCGCCGCTCGCCGCTCGCCGCTCGTACTACTGCCAAACAAACAATCCTACAACTTGCACTACCTCTGAGGGATGAACTATGCTCTTTGCTCTTCCCTTGTGCACTTGTGATTTTTTCAACGTTACTTTATTTTCATACGGTGTAGTAGCGCGGGTCGCAGGGCGCGGGAGAGACGCGCGCGGGCCGCGGGGCGGGGCGGGTCGCGCGGCCTCTCGCGTTTAGTACAGCGCTCAGCAGGAGTGTCGGACGCTCGGCTTTACAGTCGACGACTTTAGTATTCTTCGTTTATTTTCTTTTCTATTCGTTTATTTGTCACTCGGACCTCACCGTGTCATAAACATGGGATGTTTCGCTGTAAATGAGTGAGTTACTGGTGTTACCGTGTTTACAAAATTTTTATTTTGACAGTGTCACGTTCACGTGCGGAATCAAATTATTACCGGTTCCGGAGTTTTTAAGTGTTTATTATACGTACACGTCCTTCATTTGCTGCAGGTAGAGCCGGCAGATCGTCAAATAGGTGCAACGGTGTCGGTTTCTGGTAATACTAATAGATATTTATCGTGGGAATAACTTTTTAAGTGCTCCGATAGTGATTGGTGTGTACGCGTTATCGGAAAAAAGTTCGCACGGATTTGTTCCAATAAGAATCTTCTGGGAAACTAGTGTAAAGTGCGTGTACCGGTGAAGTGAAGCCGACAGGAAGTGCTTACAACTTAAACATAACCTTACCTATTCGAAAGAGGCGCGTGTTGCACGGGCATGCGCAGTCTGGGCCTTCGAAATTATTAATAAGTTCTTCATAATTTTATAAACAAACTGTGACAGTGCTGTAGTTTTGTCGTGGTGCGTCGCTTAACAGAAACGCACGAACAAGTGTACACGGGGGCTCGCTGTCATAAGGCCGGTTGACCGTTCCGAATCTAAGTTCAAAATTTAAAATCAAGGATAACGTTCACCTGTGGGATTTCGGTGTTTTACCTGCGCGCGCACAGAACTTCTTTACAAAGGTGAGTAGTTTTCGCACTGCTATGCGAACTGGTAGTTCTAGTAGGTACTCAAACGCAATATCCGCAAGTTTAGTTGGCAACAAAACAAGTGCCTACTTATTATTTTTATTTGCTACTTATATCTAAGTTGGATACCTATCTACTGCTTTTCAATTTTAATTTATACGTCTGACCGGCAGTTTACGAAACCAGTGCACCACACACGTGCAGTATGCGATGTAGAGCTAGGTGTTTCATAAAAAACATCGTTAAGTTTTGGTATGCGTCTCGCGAGAACTGTTTGTGGTCCTCTGAGGTTGGCTTTTATGTTTTTTTTTTATTACATTGTGCGTATGGTTAGTTTATTCATTAGATTCGTCTGTCTATTGGTCGGGTGACGTCACCACAGGAGCATCCCGAGATGTTTCATCTCACTCACTCGTGAATAATTGAAGACTGGTTTGAAGAGCAGAACCAATTAAACGAAGTGACGTTTGACGACTTACCAACACAAGTTTTGCTTTTAATTTTTATAAATTTAAATATATTTGAGATTTACATACTGTTCTACTGTGAGGTAAATTGCTCACGTAGCCTTGAACGGAGTTTATAGCTTGGTGATTCTTGGAATTAGGACACTTTTAATGGGCCTGTGTTACATTTGCGTAGGCTTGATCTCTAGCGTGATGGGACATTTAAATTCTTTCGGACCTCAGATAAAAGGGAATCTATTTTTAGTATATTGTTGAAAGGAGGTGCTTGTTTAAAGTATAAACCTATTCTGAACTTATATAGTAAATAGTTAATACCTACGTGGGCATGAGATTGCGGATGATAGGAATAGTTAAGATTTTATAACACATCGATCTACTGCCTAGTTACCGGAATTCAAGCAGATTCGTGAGTAAGCACATGACACAAAGTTCAATGAACAGTCAAGGATAAGATAGGTTAATATAGTACCTACCTAGTAAGTAATGTTACTTACTATAGTAATACCTAGGTACTTGCGCTACAAATCTAATGAAAGTGGGTAGGTAAGTAGGCTGGTCTTTAAGGTTTAATTTACTTTTTAATTAGGTACCTAAATTGTTAGGTTATGTAAACAAACATTTGGGATTCTGAAAAAAATATATCACTCGCCCCTAATATGGTATAATAAAGTTGACAACGCACTGGAAACTCTTTTGATTTCGCGAGTGCCCTAAAGTTGGCAACGTACTCGTAACTTCACTTGTGTCGCGGGTGTGCTGGTACCATAACGTTGGCAATGCACTCGTAATTCCGCTAGTTGCGAGTATCCTACTAATTAGTCTTAGTAGTTTCCCTATTTTGGAATTGGAACTTATGTGGGTATCAATGGTTTCGTCTACCCTAACCTAATAAGATTGTATCGGTATCCAATTGTATAGATATACCTGTTTTAACTGTTAGCCCTTTGGCTGTGAAAAAAAAAATAATTTTAAAAACTTAAATTCAACTTTCAGTTAGTAAATAGGTACACCTATCGAACTAGTAGGTACGTAGGTACTTACCTAAATGTCAATAAAACTTAGGTAACTCTTAAGTTGCGACCTTTCCAGCAAAAGCCACTTGTCAACAGTAGTCTTGCACAAACTCCTTATAAGATTTACGTAACCAAAGAGGTAAAAGAAAGCTTAGATAGATAGGTAGGTACAAGGTAGATACTAGATGTACCTGTATCCGATTTGTCAATTTTTTCATTGGATTTTCAACTTTATATCGAAACAATAAAGTTGAGAATCTAATAAAGATATTTGATAGGAATGAGTACCTTGACTTGCTCGCAACTATATGAACTCTACATAAACCTATTATGTTATCACGATTCTGAATAAGCTAATTTGTTTTTTAATTAGGACCATAAGAGACGTAGGTAGGTACGTGCATTATTATTAAATCTCTACTCATTAATGATATCGATAAAACACCTCCCAAGTAAGTAGGTAAGCGGTCTAATCACATTAATTTCTATGAAATATTAATTAGGTATAGCACCTATACTTTAATTTTATTTAGAAACAGGCGCGATGGTGGCCATACGCAAACCTATATCGTATAAAAAAAACAAGCAACATAAGGAAATATTTGAACCTAACAGTTATGAATAACACAACAGAATGAACTGATTCTACGCTCGTACAAAGGCCTTAGTACGAGTTCGTATCGTAACGAGACCACTTTCGGCGCGCTGATTGGCCGGCTTCAATGAACCAACCAATCAGAGCGAACGCGTACTCGTTTCGATTATTTTTTAAACGTAATATAAACTCGTACTAAGGCTTCTGGTTACTGACTTGATGTAGGAAAACAAACATGTTAATTATTGCTGCGTTTGATTTTGGTCTAATTAGATGCGCAGCGTATCCTATTTGGCATTTGTTTCGGGAATGATGGGTCCCTTAAAAATTACTGAGTATTTTTTTTTTTGTATAGGCCGGCAAACGAGCAGTCTTATCTCCTGGTTGTAAACAATTGGCACCGCCTATTGATAATTGCAACCTCAAAGGAGTTGCAAATTCGTAGCCAACCTTTTGGGGATTAAACAACATTCTCGATAAGTCAGCACCAATGCGCATATGATGCCTATAATATTACAGTGGTCAGTTGCCAGTGGCGCCACGACACTACTTTTTCCAGAAGAATTCGAATTTCAAACACGTAGTGCCATAGTATCAAAAGTAACTGGCATCCATTGAAAGAGCGCAATCGAATCGAGTGCTAAGTTAAAATCGATGTTCTGTTGTTTTTGGCGGCGAAAAAAACTTCGATTGAAAAAAAAGTTACTTCACTTGGCAGACGAACCGTCAGTTTGTCGTGCAGCCGGATAGCCGCAAAAAAGTTAGGGATGAATGTTTTTTTTATTATGTTTGGTTGGACATCTACAGACACAAATTTGATTGATTTGTTTAGTTCCAGTAAAAGAAAATAAAAGTTGAAAACTTCAGGGATACTTAACTTAACCTAGAAACCGTTTAAATAAAGACTCTTTTAACCCACAGATCACAAAAACTGTACTCTAATTCATAATTTTAATATCTGTGTAAAATAATACATCAAACACTATTCAATTTTGTGTTAAATCTGGAGACATGCGCAAGCGCATTTAGTTCGGAACTTTGCGTAAATTTTGAATACAATAAGCAAGAATGGGTCAGCATCGAATAACTAAATATAAATTGAAGATTGTAATTTTAATTAGGTATGAACTTACAGTTACTCAATAAAACAGGTTATTTGAAATAGTTACTTATAAATGGTGCTTAATCAATACAAAACGTTACCTATTTGGTACCTATTTCGTCCCATTATGCAACTCTATCTACCCGTCCACTTCTTATACGAAGGTATTCTTATATGTAGATGCTGTTAAAATATATAGGTCTTTTGAGTAACGTTCTCCGAAATAATAAAACTATTGTCAATATTAATTGTCAATTATAATTTAACGACAATGTTCTTCGTATATTTATCTAATATTCACACTTCACAGTCATTGGGTTAAACGAACTTCAACTCAAATAACTAATATTTACTTATAAAATCTTGCCATATTTGCTTGTACTCTGTTGCCAAATACACTCGAATAGATTCACTCGTCGGTTTTCTCGCACGCGTAGGTACAGTCGGAGACAAAACTTTTTATTCAACTCAAATAGAATTTATTTGAAAGAATCTGTTGTTTACTTTGGATTATTATATTGAAGAGGTTAAACATTATTCTATGTTAATTAAAATAAGATTATCTTTGCAAAATTTTGGAACGTAAGTTTTAGCTGGTGAAAACCAGTTCTTACCAGTTTTTGTTAATCCTTTTGTTTGTTGTCAGCTTGGTACAGCTGTAATTACTTAAGCTAGCCTAATCCACTGTTGTTGCAAGCTGGGAGCAAACAGCAGGGTGGGTAATGTGGTTACATGTGGTGCACTATCCAATTTGCTTCCTGAGTATCAAAACGAATTAGTGTGATCAAATATACACCAAGATATGGTTTGTTTAGGAGTTATTTTACTCTGTTTGCTATACAAATACTTGATTTCATTGTCATTCAGTACGGTTCTTTGATTCACTTAGAATAACCGCACGCAAATTGTATTAGAATAGCAACTTATCCAATAAATAAGTTATAAAAGTTATTAACTTTGACTCGCGGCTTTGCCCGTGTGAATGAGATTATCCTTTTCGTACTTCAACTTGTAGGTAACTATGCAACTATGATTTTTAGAGTTGCAGTGGCTAAATCGTAAACACATAACAAACATATTAAGTGTGGGAGAGATGGCTCTCCCACTGAAGAATGGGCTTCGGCACGAATGGGCCGGCTCGACCGGAGTGATACCACGGCTTCCGACGTGAAATAACGGTTGCGTTGTATTTCGTCGTGTGAGTGAGGTTAACGTAGGCCCAATTGCCCCCCCCCCCTCACTTCCCCAATCTCTCCAATCCCAGGATCTTAAATTCGTAATCCCCAAAAGGCCGGTAACGCACTTATGCGCCTTTGGTGTACCGAGTGTCCATGGGCGACGCCGATTGCTTACCATCAGGTGATCCGTCTGCTCGTTTACCGGCTTATGCCATAAAAAATATATACTTGCTTCGCATTTATAATATTAGGTAGTTGGGATTTAATAGAAAACTGATTTTATTGATGATCTTTTGACATGATGAACACAATTTATATTTAAATTAGTGGAGGCAATCTTAGTTACTTTTATAAATAACTAAACAGGTCTGAGATTGAATATTATATATCCGAAAATATTGTACAATTTTAGCTAACTAATCAAAATTGTATATAATATCTTGGTAGGTTGGTACCTACTACCTGATACCTATTTAATAAATTTCAATCTAAACTTATTTCCACCTTTTCGGAAGTTCGGCTGATTATACGATTTCTTTGTTGATAGTTTAAATTGACTTTCTATTATATTATCGACTAGCAGCCCGTCCCGGCTTCGCACGGGATAGACAATTGTTTATTTTTGGAAATTTGGATTGT